TTTCCTCTGTAGGACTTTTCTAAAAATAAGTGCCATAGCCCACGAAGTGAAGGTATCTGAAGACAGTTTAAGTGCAAAAAGAAATCTATGGGTGTGTTCAGACTGCATAGTGTAAATGAAGTCACAGCTGCTGTGACTTGCTGTGCTTTCATTAAGCTCTCATTTTTATTTTAGTGAAAGAAAATGTGTTGAACTAATGAAGACTATAATAAGCAGAATTTGCTCTCTAAGGTTCTTTCTGGAAAAAAGCATTTAAGAGTTTCTTTCTTTTTCAAAAAAAAAAAGGGCTTTATCTAATCCGAAAAGAATAAAAGATGGCTTGATTTCAAGCTTGTTTTTTAAGAGCGTAATATGTATAGACACTGAGGGAACTTAACTTATTGTCCTGTCACGTCAGCTTAGCCAGATCATTACCCAGTAGCTTGGATGTTCTGGACCTGCCCTGGAGTCATCCTGAAGACATCACTATTGTAAAACAGTTTCATGAGAAAGTACATGTTACGGCAGAGGAGATGTGCTTGCCTCTCCCTTGATTTTTCATTCTAATAGTATCAAATGTTATTCACACTGTTTCTACAATTTTTAGTCAAATATTTTTAAATTAGCCAGAAAACAGTAAAACTAAAGATAAAATATCTGCAAAGATGTTAAATTTAGAAGAGTATTTGGAACAGTCAAAACCTATCTAAAGAGAAAAACTGTGTTTTCTAGAAAGTTATACTCATTCTTTTTAAACTCTGGTTTCACTCACAGTTTTCTGCCCACTTGGGTCATGCAAGCACTTCTCAGACCAGGCTAGATTCTGACTCTCCAGCGATCATCACTAGCACAGCTGCAGGACCCGGTGTGGTATCAACTCAAAAACAGGTAACATGCTAAAATTAACTTTTCTATTTTTTAAGGCATAATTACAACATTTATTAGTTTGAGTCTCATTATTTCTGTGTTTTTCTGAACAACACAAGTATGTGGTTGAGGAAACTGTTATAGTTTACACAGCTGTGTGAAGACACTAGCTTGCAAATGCTCATTAATGTTACAGAAACCCATATATGTTAGGAGTAATTTTAAATTATTTTTGGAGCAGGGAGGGGAAAGTGTGACAAAATGAAGAGTACATGTACACTTAAGTATAGCACAACAGGAACCATTGGTGTTTCACATTTACATTTCATTACAGAAGGAATATCCTTTGCTTTCGCATCCTGTTGTTTGACATGTCTCATTTCCTCATGTGTTTTTATTGCTAAACTGCCCTTTTTACTTTTCTATAATGTCTTCCGCGTTGATCTCCTTTCTTTTTCCCACCTGATTTACTTTGCTACCAGCTTTTAGAGAAACGTGCAGCATTTTACTGCATGGAAGCTTTTTTGTATCTGCTGTATCACTGCTGGAAAGAGAGATGGAAGTGCCTTCAGTTGTCACTCACGTATGCAGCCAGCGAGCAAAGCTAAATTATCCATGCTGCTTGATTTTTGCCAAATGCCTTGAAATGCTGTGTCGTACTTAGAGTGGAAAAAGGTGGAATAAACCAGACTGCAACTAGATGGAATAAATGCAACCTGTATAACTGGATTACCTGCAACATCTCATGCGGCTGATAGTATTTTCAATGCTCTAGTAAGTCTGCTTAGTTCTATGTTTAGAAATTTTTACCAACTAATACTCAATTTATTTGTAGCCTGTGGCAAAAGTAATAACATCTGCTCAGCAGAAAGCAGGAAGAACAATCACTGCTCGAATCACAGGCCGAGGCGAAACGGGACAAAAAGCCGGAATTTGTGGTAGTTTAGCAGTGATGGGAGTTGCTCCACCCGTGAGTTCGGTCATTGTTGAAAAACATCATCCAGTCACGCAGGTAAGACAGAATTATGCTTGTAACAGTACTTTTATTATTATTCCAATGTATTTGGTAGTACTTTGAAGAAGAATTACCGTGATGAAGAGGTATTAGACAATGCTCAAGCTTGAGGCCTGTTTAAATTAACAAACTGCTGTCTTTGGTCTGTGTAGGAAGCACTGGTGAGAGGAGGAAGTAAATATTGCCACTTTAATCTGTTTGTCTTGTTTTTGTAGCAATTATTTCAGAAGATATAGTAGTCTCAACTGTCCCTTTCTTGACCAGCTCTCCTGGGAGTCTTCCTCTTTGTAGAAGTGGTGACTGAGCCAGAGGTGGCACAAATACAGACTGGCCTGGCAGCTGAGCCCATGTGTTGCCCGGTCTAGTCGAGAGGTGGCATCCCTGCCCATGACAGGGAGGTTGGACTAGATGACCTCTAAAGACCCTTCCAGCCTAGGCCATTCTATGATTATATGAAATTATTGGGGGGAAAAGTACAACCGTTGTTCAGAGGCAATCAAAGCCATCAGTCATAGTGCTTGTTGTATTTTGAGTCCTACTCCCCCATTTATCCTGAAGAAAACAGTGAATTAAGTGCATTAATAGAGTATGAAAGCAATATACAAGAAGACTCTAAACACTGACCTAAATGGCTTGGGCAGCTGCTACAATTTTAGACCAATCTGAGCAGAAAAAATCAGTTTCACTGGAAGGTATATGAAACAATTGAAGATGTTATTTTATGTTTTAACCTGTAAAGTAGAATCTGAGTTTTCTCTGCGTTCTCTGAAAGTCCAGTTTCTCCTCAGTGACACTGCCAGAACAAGCAGAGCTAAATCAGGTCCCTTAATTTGACCTGGAGTTAGTGGTAACTGTCTGTGTGAGGGATGTTCTGCTTTCACTCATTTCCTGTGGTGAATCAGAGCCCTGTGGCAGGCTGCACATAGCTTTCAAGTATTTAGGGGTTTAAGTAGAAATTAATATTTAAATTGTGTGTCCTTAAGGGGTTAGGGATTTGGTGTGAGACTTCTTTCATTAAGAACAATTTCTGGATTCAGACTGCGTGACTAGTGTGACAATGTAAACTAATGTACCAAAAACTGACTTCCAAAAATATAATAAATGTGACAGTCCCAGAACTGTAATCCTGCAAATAAATGCCAAAGTCAGACTAAAGATTTTCTCTTGAATTAATCTGACAAGGGAGAGAGTTTACCTTGATGAAAAGCAAAATGACGACTGTTTATTTCAGTAAGGTGGCTAGTTTTGGGGGAAAACACGCATTATTGTTAAATAAATGCAAACCTTTTCCTTTCAGAGACCAGACATCTTTCAGAGACTTCCTTATAGCATATACTGAACTTCAAAAGGAAAGTTGGCATGATTAAATGAGGAAAATTCTGAACAATTTGGTGAAGAATTAAACCAAACAACCTTGAAATAAAATTGAGGTGATAAAAGCTCAGGGTACCTAATTAGTTGAAAGTATATTACAGGTTAAGGAAGGAACAAAAATTATTCATTTAAAGTAGCCTTTTTTTGTATTTTTCAGAAGGTATTTCAGTTTGCTGGATTGCAAATCATTCTATTTAAACTACAGCTCACTTAGAGCTCTTTTAATGGAAATGTTTTTGTAGTGCTAAGTGTTCTGATGAATCCTGACTACTTTTCAGCAAACCATATCCCAAGCCACGGCTGCTAAATATCCTCGGACTCTGCTCCATGCTTCTGGTTCTACAACTGTGAGACCTGCAGGACAAGTTGGGCGAATGCTTCAGGGCCAAGCTCACACCAGTGTTCAGTCCATAAAAGTTGTTGACTGAGTGAAAATGGTTTTTTTTGTCAAGGTACAAATTAAACCTCTTCCCAGTCTTTTCAGATTTGATGTACCAAGGCCTAATGTATATGTCATGTTTTTACCCTTTTCTAAAGAATTATTTTGTTTTTTTAAATAGAAATGCTTTTACAGTAGACATGTGGAGGAGAAAAAAGGAACTTGAAATGTTGTTCTACCTCCAAACTATTTGAGAACCTATTTTAAGATAAACATGTTTTATTTAAGAAATCTTTTGCACACTTTTAAATAAAGGATAAATGTGATTTTTGTCTCAATCTCCTTTTTCAGTCCCACTCTTACCAACATCTACTTTCAAGCGAAAATTAAATTTATTTTTGTTTCATATGTCCTTAGTTCCTCATGCAACTAAGTGTAGCAACATACATTTTAATTATATCTCACACAGCATACTTAAATGAAGAATAGCAGGGTGATATCCTTCACACCCAGGGTGCAACTTGGGCCAGGTGAGGTACTGAGTCCATCAAATTGTTAAACATTTTCCAAGGTATTGTTGCAAAACTTGATGCATACCTGTCAGGATCTAAGAAAGTGTGAGAAAATCTTTAAACATATTCAGGAATACACTAACAATATTAGTTCAACACATGAACAAGAAATAGGTAAATAATTGCTTGATGTGTTAAGTATTATATACCTACTCAGAAAAGAACATTGGATATTTAAGGTTATGCCGTGACAGAAAATTCTGCTAGCTACACATGGTTTTAGACATGAACTTTTTGTGTATTTTTCACTACAAAAATCAAATGCTGAAGAAGAAAGACTTGTCCTAATCCTAGCAGTAACTGAACAAGAGAAACCCCCTTTTCAGACAGGAACACTAATCCTAGCAAGAAACCTGAATCCCAAATGAGGCCAGGTGCCAGCCTGTTTCTGTAAGTGTTGATTTATACACATAATTTTCACTTATTAAATTTAATTTCTTTCATGTAGAAAACATCTTATTATCTTATTTACATTTCATGTCAAACAAAAAATAGCTTAATTTGCAGTTCCAAATACAGAATTAGTGTATCAATGTTAAGCCAGGTGTAGAAATTGTAGGGAGGTGGTTCTTGCTTAGCAGTGTAGTCAAAAGTTACCAGCCAGCCATTCACTGTTGAATTCTTTTAAGTCATTGTGTAGCAAGCATATGACTAACCAATATTTCAAGAGTGCAAGTTCCTGTAGCTTGGAAAAAGTCATACAACTTCAAAATGGGTTTTTGTTTCCAGAAAGTATATTATTTTTATTTGACAGTAACTTTCCATCTGTAATTTCGTGAAAATCCATCATATATGCCATGTTTTATTGATGAACTCATGAAATTGTGCATTTCCTGGAATCCGTGTCAGTGCTACTCGCAGCTCTGATCTTCTCTGTAAAGTAAGAGGAGAAAACACTTTCTTGACATGCTCCGCTTCTTACAAGGTCAGACTAATCTAACTGAAGGATGGCCAATCACATTTTAACCATGTTTATGGGAGAAAGGAGGGAAGCAAAGTTTGCACATTTTCATCTTTTAGAAATCTCATGTCTCATTTAAATTCTCTTCAAGCAAACTCACCCCCAGCAAGGGCAGAGTCACAGAAAGGAAGAGACTGTCCTGGGGCTCCGCCATGGTCACAGCTTCCCAGCACCAGCAGGGACCTCAGCACTGCACTCTCCTAGAGGAGAGTGTGATGTGCTCTGACAACTCACCGGCTAAAGGCTGAAATCCTGCCTCCGACAGATCTTCATATATATGCTTGACAGGATTCTGGTGAGCCAGCAGTATACCATGTAACCAGATGAGCAACATTCTGTTTCCATGCTCTTTATAACTTTTTTTTCCTATGCAATACACAAAGCATTTGATTGTTCCATGTGCTGGTATCAGTGTATTTTGGGCTTTTGCACTTTTAGAGGTCAACAGGGTTTAAAACCTACTTATTTACTCTTATTTCCTTTCTTACCTTGAAGAAAAATGAAGACTGAGCCTTTAAAAAGGTTTAAAAAAAAAATAATTTCTAGCTTTATCCTAAGACCTACTGTAAAGGGAGGAAAAAAGCTAATACATCTTATTTTTTTCATTTTTCCTCACCATGTGGAAATATACCCTGAAGCAGTAGTAAGTGCAAAGCATGCTATAGAAGTATTGCTTTCCCAGCACTTGAGATGCCTGAAGCCAGAAATTACTCTTTCATGGCAGCTGTGAAGACAGAGCATGAACAAGGTCTTCCCATGTCACAAGGTTCCCCAGGTCCTCACTTCCAGCGTGACCTGCAAGATGTTTCCATGGTGCTCACTGCTTCTGGCTTTGATTTCCAAAGATAAAGGTTCCTTCAGGCCAAGAGGAGGAACAGAAGTAGCCTGTACTTCTACAGCACCATGTCCTGGGAACCAGGGACAAAGCCTGTAACCATTCACTGCTCTTTTTTGTAATTCGGTAAGAGCAGTACAGCCAATGTGTATCTGTGATACCTACACAGCTTAAAAAAAACCACTCTGCCTTGTGATTTTTTTTAATATTTTATATATTATGTCTAACTGTTCAGATACATTACCTGTCCATTGCTCTTCAATAGCTTTAATTTGTTCATCTGTGAACTTCCAGAACAGGGCCAGTTTTTTCCATTCCTGAGGTTTTAATTGATTGTATGCTAGATTCCAAAGGGAGAAACGGATTTGCTTGGTCTGTGTACTATGATCTTGTTTGAAGGACAAGCTGGAGTCTGACGCGTTATCACTATGCGCTAGATGTTCCTGAAGAAGAAAATAAATTTTGTAATGAAGCTGGAAACCTTTGCTTAGTGACAGGTGATATGCTCAGTGCAGGTAAAGGAGAGCTCTTTGAAAGGTGTTTTAGCATGGATGATGTTATTACAGTCTTAATAACAGAAATGAAGCCATCTTGTGTTTGTTCCTATGTCTTACTATGTTAAAAGGAAAATAAACCACCATCTCTGGCAGCTTCTATACAGCAGCAAGTAACAGCTGCACTCCTTGGCTCTGTGTCACATTTTGAACAAAGTTGGGTTTCAGCCACAGTTCTTACTCTTTCCTTTTGCTTATTGAAGTGCTGACCTCTCTCTGAGAAGAGGCTAGGCACCGCTGGTATGGTGCTTGCTCAAGCTTTTCCATCCTCTGTCCTGTCAGCTCCGCTTGGCTGAAATGTGGACTAGCACGTCTGATGGCAGCATGAGCCACTGGGTCTAGCACACAGAGCCCATTCAGCACAGCACCGCACCTAAGCACCGATAAGCACAAGCATGTTGAACCGGAATCTAGTTTATTGTCCACATAAGCAAAACTGCAAACATTTTACTCTCCAGATTAAAACTGGTGTTGCTACCATATGCACAGGTCACCTGAAGCAGGAGTGATGGGGTTGCTTCTTGTTTTGGTACCTCTGCAAAAGTCACGTCTAACTGATTTCAGACCTAGCTGAGTGGTGCCCAAGAAAAAGCCTCATTCCTAATGTAGGTAAGTTCAAATTGCTTTTGTATTTCATTTTGTTTATATACTAGTCCTGTTTCAAATCAGTCTCCAAGGTGAAAAATCATGGAATCATAGAATTGTCAGGGTTGGAATGGACCTAAAAGATCATCTAGCTCCAACCCCCCCGCCATGGGCAGGGACATCCCCCGCTAGACCAGGTCGCCCAGAGCCCTGTCCAGCCTGGCCTTAAAAACTTCCAGGGATGGGGCTTCCACCACCACTCTGGGCAACCTGTGCCAGTGTCTCACCACCCTCATGGTGGAGAACTTCCTAACATCCAATCTGAACTGATCCATCTCTAGCGTTAATCCATTCCCTCTAGTCCTACCACTACCCGACATCCTAAAAAGTTCCTCATGAACTTTCTTGTAGCCCCCTTGAGATACTGGAAGGCCACAATAAGGTCTCCCTGGAGCCTTCTTTTCTGCAGGCTGAGCAACCCCAACTCTGTCTTAAGGAAGTTGATACAGAATTACAAAGCAGATTATTAGGCCAGAAAAGGAGATGGCAACATGCATATTTGAAAGTTGTAAGTATAAAATACTCCATTCCAGATTAAATTCAGAAACATACAACAAGGTTATTTCATAACCTTATGAGAGTCTTGCAAGGAAAAAGAAAAAAAAAATCTTAGGTCTGTAACTGAGCATTGTCATGTATGTCTGATTCCATTTTTCTGGAGCAGTCTTTATTTCATACTTCCTGACACGTGCAAGGTGAGGTTTAGGACAGCTTCAAGGTCCTCTCCTGTTCAGTGGTTCTCTTCAGAGTTTTGAGAAAAACAGAACAACGAAAAACCCACAGCAAACAAACAAACAAACATATTCTCTGCAGCAGCACAGCTTCTTTTTGCTGCTTATTGTGTGTCTAGGCAACTGGAGGGTGAGACAGTGAGCAGCAGCCCTCAAATTGAGTAATAAACAGCCTGGGCAATGATAGGGAAGGGTTGGATAGAAGCAGTAAGTAGAAAAAGGCACGAAGGGAGAGAACAAGATGTTCACATACATAAATATTGTGCACTTCCTCACAGTAACATGGCATTTCCTGTTCTACCTAATGCCTTGTCACAGATGATAAATCAGCTCAGTGTAGCAAAATCAGTTCTTAAATAATGATTCAAAATGTTGTTGTTTCATATATTGTACTGCCATCTGAACAACGTTATGTTCCATAACTGTAAGATGTAAGCTGTTCCAAAAGGCTGTGCTCTTTGCTTCAGGTAGTGGGATACAAACACTTAAGCTGCTATTTCCCAGCATCTGTGGAGCTCTTGCAGAAAACCATCTGCTTAAACATATTTTCTTCTCCTCAGGCAATTCAGTAAACAATGCCAAGAGGTAAGGAACATTACAGGCTCACTGCTGTCAGACTCATCATGTCTTCTCTGGCAACTGATGACTTCACTTCCAATGTCTTTTTAAGCCAAAAGAAACAATAACATACCAGCATGTCCCAGATTTGGACACGCAGGGCTGAACTGGGTGGGCAAAAGCAGCTAACTCATGTGCCTAACTCATGCTTCGGCAGGACCAGTATGTTTATACTACCCGAGAGGCACTTGGCTCCTCCTGGCCAAACAAACACTACCTAACAGAAAGCAGGAGTGAGAGTGAAGTTATGGATGTGAGTGGCAGCTCAGCAATGAGCATGCCAGAGCTGACAGTCAAGTGAACTCCTTTCACCAGTTCCTTTGCCATGGTTTGCTAGTTCTGGTGTTCACAGCATTACTTGCTCTACCTAAGTAAATTGTGTTACCATCTTTTTCTTGCAGGTTTTAGGGTGGATGCTACAAGAGATGTCTTCCACTACCACACTAGGACCAGTCTGAACAGTGTATTTGAGAAAGATTAGGGATTTAAAACCATATTGTCAAAATCCAGCCAATTTAATCAGTTCTCAGGGAGCCCACAGAAACCTATGGCTCCAGACAAGGAAAACTGAGCAAGCCTATAGAATTCCCTGCCCATAGCACTGAGGTTGTAACTATGTGATCTTTAAGGTCCCTTCTAATCCAAACCATTCTATGACTCTAAGACTGATTTATGGAGCGTCAATAAGCCCTAAAATGAATCTTCACTGTCCTATGAAATACCTCCCTTTCATCAAGGGTGTAGATATAGCAGGTTCTTTGTGTCACATCGCTACAACTCTTATTGACAGAATAAACTTTCTCAAGATTCTAAATGGTCCTGGGTAAGACACAATGACAATGGTTTCAAGACCTATTTGGGCTGGGTCTGAGTTTCAAGGCACATCTCTAGAATGGGCCTCACCTGCAGCCCAAATCCAAAAACTCCTTTGATTTTAAAAGATACTGAAAGACACCCCCTGTAGAAATTATACAGATTCATAGATGACACGGGGTATTCAGTGCACGCCAAAATAATTATTATCTACACTTTAATACATCTGACCCTCATCCCTTTAGGAAGGGCTGTCACTAAGCAGCCTATGTTTAAATAACTACAAAAAGAAGCTTAGAAATTCAGACAATCTGAGGTCAATCTAAGCCATATCCTTCACGCTTGTTGCCTGTTTTTTTCCTATTTCATAGCTTGCATTTTAAAATTAACACACATAAAACAGAAGAGGGAGCTCCTGCTGA